GTTTAACATTTCAGGTGTCAGTTATAGAAAAAGTATGTATTTAACATTTCAGGTGTCAGTTATAGAAAAAAGTATGTATTTAACATTTCAGGTGTCAGTTATAGAAAAAAGTATGTATTGTAAGTTTTATTTGTTAGAAGAAAACAAAAAAATGTTGGAGAGATTTTTTTTAAAATAGCACTTTTGGTAAAAAACGGTTCATAGATTACTAATAGAGGCGAATTTACGACGTTTTCATGCATTTCAAACGATCTTTTTTATGCAAACTTTTTAAAGATTTTCATAAGTACACATAAAAGTATCATTCAACTTTCAAGTTCCTGGACAGTTGAGTACAAAATAGCTTAGTACATCTAAAGTATCGGACAAATTATACAGTATTTCAAGTGTTACGTTCTGTATTGAGTTAGATGCCAGTTGTGTAATTATATATATATATATATATATTATGGATGTATTATGAACGTTTATCTAAAGTATCCATTGAAGTGTGTACCGTCAATTTCTAGTTTATTTTTCGTTTTATATTAGATACACTATAAAAGAAGGCAGGGACGTTTCCTAAAAAAAAGAACTTTGTTATTTAGTTTTTGATTATTTTTAGCGCTTATATTCATATATAGCAGATAAAAACTAAGGGAAATTCATTTACAATTTCGTATTTAATACACATAAAAACGAAGGCACTTTATTTTTCTTTAAGCAACAGTAATGTATATTTTGATTAAAAATCAAATCACAACATAAACATAAAACCTACTGCTTTGATTTCGCGAGTTGTGGAAGAACATTTGCTTTATATTGACACAAGTAGCTATGGTTAGTTACTGAGTCTGGTAGCTTGATCTGGTTTCAAGGTTTTATTGGAAAATATTCGTGTTTGTTTGTTTGTGTTTAATTTCGAAGCTACACAATGAGTTCTCTGTATTGAACTCACAGAGGGTGTCGAACCCCAGTTTTTTAGCGTATAAACCCTCAAACTTACTGCTGATTAGTAATGTTACATTGTAAAAAGTTATATGAGTATTAAGACAGACATTTTACAACGATACAAATTGTGTTGTAAGGATATAAACACACATTTTGTGTGCTAAAACATTACGCGTGGTTTTTATTTCAGATTTCCACTTAGGTGAACACACTGTTGTGTTGTGAAGTCATATTTATATTAGTTGTTAGTATGTTATATAACATTCAACCCAAAAACTGTATTGTGCTTTGTTACCACACAATGACTGTGTTAAATTTAACGTGAATTTGGGTTTCACGTATCATAAGCAGTGCTGTTTTAACCCAAGTCTTATATACTGCATGAGCTATATCAGTTCATTCTGTTTTTACCAGCTGACTGATTTGATAACAATAAATGTTGCATATTTTTCAACTGAACTGTATGACATGGAAAAGAATTTTGACGTGTCCAGTTGTTTTGTTGACAGTTCAATGTCCAGGTGGTTTCAGATGTCTTTTCCATGTAAGTATTCATCTCTTTATCTATCAGTCTATCACTATCATGGTTTTGTAATTTTTATTCAGTGTAATTTATAAAATAAAAGTAGCTGAAGTATTAATCGAACCAGCATTTTCCACTAACGATTCAAATTGTAAAAATTGCAAAAAACAACAACAACAGCTTCTATGTATACTTCAAACTGTTGAATTTTTAAACTTTTCTGGTGTGTTTCAAGAAATTTCATGAGGTAACCAGATACTAAAGAATTTTAAATCAGTACTAAAAAAATGAAAAGTACTTATAACATCCTTCTGGATACAACATATAACATGGAAGTCTATTGTCAAATAATAACAGTAATCGCATTGTATTCTGAATTATAAAATGTTTTTCAGAATACCATAATGATAACATTTTCATAGTTAATAACATATGCTTTCAAAGAATTAGATAACCAGACAATTTTAGCTAAGATAATGAAATTGAGATTAAGCTTTTTGTAATATATGATAAGTTTAATAAGTTGTTGTTGATTGGATTAAATATACAAATTACCAGCAGACTTAGGTTTAGTTTTCACTTTTTAAGTTACAAACAACAATCAGTCTAATAATTGCTTTTGATTTAATTTTTATGAAACTTCAAACGTATTTATTTAAAAATATTTTTATACTTTTAAGAATTACTCTTGTTCTACAAACAATAAAGTGTTTTTTAAGTATACTTATTTTGTGAAAACGTAAACATTTGAGACCTCATCATTTAAGAAAGAAATAGTTGTTAAACAATATGATAGTTGTAATGATCTAATTAGATAAAGTACATTTCAAAGAGTAAAGATATTTGAAAGGAATATGATAATTTCTTGTCTAACTTAGATAAAATTCAGAAAATATATAACACTATTGCCATATTCTTCGTGTTTTTCTGACATCATGGTTGCCTACCTTAAATTGACATATTATGATAGCAACATAATGACCAAGCAGTAGCTTAGAGAAGACTTACTGGAATCTTTCGTTCTTTTAGTAGAATATGATAAAAAGGGAATATATTATCTACATGTTCAGTTATTTGAATTTCTCTAAGAATGCTTAGGATAAACTAGGAGCTAAATATACTTTCAATGATCCTTCAGATGGCATTAGACTGTGTTGTCCTGACTGTATTTAGTACCCAACTATTTTGTAAGTACTAGCAAAGATTTGTAAATATAATATATTTCTATAAAACTTATATTAGTTATGAAATGCTCAGAAATACTGTTTTTTATTGTATTTCAGTAAACGCCTACGATATACTTAAATCATTCCCAACTGTGGCAGCAATCAAGCAAAATTTCTTGCAACAAGCAAAATCAACAGCTGGCATTTCAGCTCTTCGAATACCAAAGGTTATGGTACGTGTTGTAGAAAATTGAATGCTCGTAGTTAGCAATCACAGTATTGAAATAAAATAATTCCATTTCAGAAGCATAAAATATTAAACAGTTTTGAGACAGAGTTATCACTAATACATTGGAATTGCTTTGTATTAGCCAAGTACATTAACAGTGTTTTAATGTTTATAGAACTGTACTATTAAAATTCATGATAAATGTTACGAAGATCGAAATGGTTTTAATCCTTATAAATGTGAAACTGGTTACATTTTGTTTATCTTATACTTTCGACGTCCGTAAAATATTTTGTTTAAAGTTAACCATAAATCAACCAAGAAATGACTGCGTTCTTATTTCCCAAGGCGTATGCTCACTAATCAAAATTGTATTACGTTTTAGGTCAACTTTAGCCCAAACGAAATGTTTATTACAGCTTTGCTACTAGAAAGGTCTCCGTATTTCTGTAAGTAGACTAACGATAAAGTTTATTTGTTAAATATTATTTGTTTTATTTATCATGCAAAGTCTATTAAATAAAAAATTGTAACTGTTTATGGAGCCTTCATCTTAACACGTTTAAAGGATGTTTATAATAATCTCTGCTTCTTATTATAGAAGATTAAGTAACTAGACTCTTTCTTTAGGTTAAAGATATAAGGCACAATTAAGGTTCGCAAAGCATGTTAAATATCGAGACGTAGCCCTTTATTTTCGCGCCTTAATGATTTTTGAATTAGGACGCGTTATAAGTATAACGGAGCCTGCTATCACATATTTACTAACAATTATTTTCGTTTAACTTCTGAAAACCTTTACCAATTTCATCGTTTCTACGTTTTCTTTAATCAGCTCTCTTCAAGACTTATGTCACTGAAACATCATCTAATACTTTACACATATAACATTTAGTCTTTTACATAGCGCTCTGATGCAAACATTCTCTAGTAATTTATAAAATTGTTATCAGAAACATTATCCAATCATTTACAGGACTTTTCAAATACAAACATTCTCTAGTCATTTATAAAATTGTTATCATAAACATTATCCAATCATTTATAGGATCTTTTAAATACAAACATTCTCTAGTCATTTATAAAATTGTTATCATAAACATTATCCAATCATTTACAGGACTTTTCAAATACAAACATTCTCTAGTCATTTATAAAATTGTTATCATAAACATTATCCAATCATTTATAGGATCTTTTAAATACAAACATTCTCTAGTCATTTATAAAATTGTTATCATAAACATTATCCAATCATTTACAGGACTTTTTAAATACAAACATTCTCTAGTCATTTATAAAATTGTTATCATAAACATTATCCAATCATTTACAGGACTTTTCAAATACAAACATTCTCTAGTCATTTATAAAATTGTTATCATATACATTATCCAATCATTTATACGACCTTTTCAATACAAACATTCTCTAGTCATTTATAAAATTGTTATCATATACATTATCCAATTATCTACAGGACTTTTCAAATACAAACACACTATAGTCCTTTTATTTTATAGTTGTTGCCAAGAGATATCCCTTACTAGGTCTCAATCTCTGAAGACAAAGAGTATTTTACATTCTATTTACTTATACTAAATACACTCATGTGAATAAAGTATCTCATTCTTTAAGTGTCAAACCCATGCCTTTTTGGTAAATCTAATAGATCCAGTAAAATGCAACCATTTAACCACATTGTGTGCCTATGAATTCATTCTTATAAAATAGGTCATCTAGCCAGAACTAACATCAGTGTTAATTTTGAAAGATGCTTCTATTAGGTTGCATTGATATTTTAAAAACTCCATTATAACATTTGAGTTTATCACTTTTTCTCACCCTATTTTCTTTTCTTTTACGAAAGGCACGCGTTTTACAATTAGTTTTATAACTTTTCATCTTTACAATAATGTTTTTTACACGTTTTTCTCTTTAAATGACTTATATCATAATTTCTTTTACTTCTTTCTAACATCGCTTTCGAGTTAATAAATTTAGCCTTTTCTATCTTTCAACTAAAGGAGGATTTACCATAGAGCGCAAACATCAATCAAAAAAGAACCCAAGAGAGAATTGAAAACACAAGCTTAGAATCCACCGTTTTGTGCTCTTTATTTCATTTCTGTAGTATTTAATTTTTAACACAAAATTTCTCCTTCGACTACAGTCGAATTAGTTTTTTGAATGGTAGACCAAGAGAAAATCAGTTTCGGTAATTATCTATTAGAGGTTTTGCACTCATCGTTGAAAAGTAAGTAACCTACTGTATCCAAATACGCAATACGTATGATGATAACGTATTTCAGTCGGGAGTTGTGAGCAGTCAAAGAGACTCAGGGTTTCAGAGTAGCCGCAGATGTTACCATCAACGGTCACACACGAACTTATTAAATCAACTTTGATTCTCAAATCAAATTATTCGACCTTTCTGTCTGTTTGAGGTTGAAGACCTTGTTCTTGATTTTCTGATCTGGTCGAAGACTACTACCACTATCATTACTGTTCTATCAGCACCAAACCTATTTTTGAGTGCCATCACATCATCTTTGGACTTTGTAGATAGATTTGTCTCAAGACGGTGTGTCAAAACTTTCATCGTCATCGCATCAACAGCGGCTGCACAGTTTGAAAGTAGAGTATCTTGGAACCTTGTATATGCATGTAATCGAGAGAACTACATGTAATGTAATGGTAAATAATGATGGCTTGCCGAATAGTAGCAAAGTTCCAGTCACGGTCAACGGGGCTTGGAACAATCTGCTGAAGACTTATTTGTGGAGATACAAGTGGTCTAATAATGTATATGCTGACAACAAAAAAGAAGGCTCACGCAGCGGATTCTTCAGTTACACAACAAAAGTACTGTTACTAGCTATGAGGTTTCTGCTGATGTTATGGTCATTTTTTCCTACTTGGAAACTGTAAATTGTATTTTATCGTATGCTAAAATCTTTTTAAGTTTAATTAAAATCGGAAAAATCCCGGATTTTTCACGTCCGATCCCTGCCACCTAGACGTCTCTGGATGAGGAAGAGATTCTGCGTTAAATAAAGCACAATCGATATGTTAAGAAACAAACGTTACCATTTATCAAAATTTTAGCTTACATCCTTTTTTGAGAACATCATATACTTACGGCAATACAAATGGTCAAAGAATGTTCTAGAAGCTCAAATTGTGAGGAAATAAAAATGTTCTTCTTGTAAATCGAAACTGTGTTCTGACTATACATGAGCTAAACAATACAGTTACAACTCTTAAAAATAACATACTTCACACTTGTTACAGTAGATGAAATATTACATCTTAAAATTATCATGTTAACCACATGTAAACATTTTAGCATACCTACGGGTAGTTTATAACACTGATAAAGTAAATATGCTATTTAAATTAATTAATCAATATTAATAAGACGTATGTTTAAACTAAAGACAATAATACTCATTTATATAATTACAATCATACGCTGGTCAGTTGTTAGTGTATCATAAGATATTGTTTGAAGTTGGAAGTTTCTGCTTCATGAAGTAGATCTTATGTTACTAAGTATATGCAAACTTTATCTAAAATAATATTAAAAATCGATATATTACTTTTGCATTATAATATTAAACGTTATATTTGTATTTAGTGGATTTCGACTCAATAGAAGGCAAAGGACTTCGTGACCCATCCACTACCATAGGGATAACTACATCTGAAGACTGTGCTAAGGCTTGCTTAGAAAGCTTCGCGGAATGTCTGTATGTGTGACTTGGTTTGATTTTTCTGCAATATCTTTACCAGTATGTATTGGTGTTGTTAGAGGATAACTCAAGATGTTTTAAGACAACAATGGTATTACACCATTAAACAATAACGTGATATAAGTCTAAGATAACGAAGCATGGTTATAATTAATTATATTTGTCATAAGACATTAGTATTGGGCCTATTATGTTTTAACACAACATTCTTAATTCAGTCCCTAGGTTTTTTTTCCAGAAGAAGTGTTAACATAGTGTGGTTGAAATATAATTGAAATACTGAGTTAGAAAAAACGATCTGTAAATATAAGAGACTTGCTCTTTTTTGATTTTAATAAAATTACATCTTTGTCTTAAAGATTCGAATGTCTTTAATTCTTCAGACTTTAGCTTGGTTTACAAAACTTGAGATTGATTAATGAGTTTAGTGACCTTTGAAGAAAAAATTTTAAATAGTTTCAAGGTAGGATGATTATCCGGAAGGTGAGGGAAAATGATAATATATGATTCTGATAAGGTAACATGTGACAGATTGAACTGTTGTATGTTTCTATTCAAAGCTTTCCAACTGATGATGAGAGGTAAGTCTATTGAAACGTAGAGATTAAAATAGTAAGTAAAAGAAGTTTTAAAACATATTTAGAAGTTAAAACAGTAAGTAAAAGAAGTTTTAAAACATATTTAGAAGTTAAAACAGTAAGTAAAAGAAGTTTTAAAACATATTTAGAGGTTAAAACAGTAAATAAAAGAGGTTTTAAAACATTTGTTTGTAAATAAATGAATAGCAGTTTAGTTTAACAATATTTTCTTATAAATCAGTCAGTTTATTTTAAACGCTCACGTTTTGAACTAACATATGCATGTGCTAGCTCAAAAATAGCCTCAAGGCGCATTTCTAGCTAAGAAAGGTATGACATAATTAATCTAATTTACGTAAAAAAATATTTTTTACTGTAATAGATTTTACACTTTCATATAACGTTTCTCTGATATTATGCATTATTATTATCTTACATCGGTTAAAGGAAACTGTTTTAAAATATCACCAAGGAGAAGCTGTTTTACGTATCTTTTTGCTCAGATGTTAAAATTAATATATATGTTGTTAACTCTTAAAAGATGTAAGTATTTGTGTGTGTGTAGATATTCATTGATGGATCTAAAATATAATTTAGTTCATTCACATATCATCACTACTTGTGTAATAATGTCATCAAAATATAATACCTCAATGAACCTGGTGCAACTTGAGATTCATTCCTCCTACATTATCGAAAAAAGACTTTAAGACTATATTCTAAATGACTGTATAATATTGTTTAATTTCTATACGGAAAACTAAGTAAACGATAAAAAAGAAAGAGGAACAGAGAGCTTGCCAAACTAACCAGACACATACTCAGATCATTGTCTGACCACAAACCTACACTATTCCAATTACTACTAATATTACTAGCAGATAAGTACTAGTTATTTTCGTATACTTATAATTAAATAAACTATATACATATATTCATCGATAACCGAAACTGAATGAATTTGGATAAAAATATTTAAAAAACGTACAAACAAGTAACGCCACATTACTGTAGGGTTGAAACTGGAATATAAGAAGTTCGAACTTATTAGATTATTAGTATATCTTTGTTTCACAAATTGTGATAATTCAATAACAGGTAGAAAATGTAAATAATCTCCGAAACGACAGTTCTAAAATGAATATACACAATAAACCTGTAACTGCTATAGCGATAATAGTGTTACAACTTCTATTAATTCGTCTGTACCCACTCAGAAAACATTATTTTAAAAACCAAAGCATGGATTTCGTTATTATCTGAATGTAGGTTTCCTAATTATAATTTATTATTAGAACGAACATTTCGATTGATCTTTTGATTATTATCAAGTGCACAAAGTTTAGAGTAAAATGTAATGCAACATCTTATATTTTAGTAATGATCTTCCAGAGAGCCTTTAACATTTATATAAACAAGTAAATCATGTGTAAGAACAGTGTTATTTCTTTGTATGTGTGTATTAGGTGTTTGGCTAGGTTGAAAATATTCTGAGGAAATGACAATTAAATATAAACAGAAGGATGATTGAGTGTCTGATAATAGTAGGTTCGTTAGATTTAATTCGGAAAGCTTTTCTATTTTTCTTTTGTTAATTTCTGGTGCGTGTTTTACAGGGTGCACTTGATAGGGTGTTTGTTTTTTTTAATCATGTAATTTGCCAAAAATTAGGCACACTAAAAGGCCTCTTAAATTTAGCATATAACATATGAATATACTAACAACATTGACTATGAAATCTCACATTTAAACCAATATTTTACTGACATTAGCCGATTCCACTCCAAGACAGTTATACAAATTTCGAATTAAGACAATATGCACAGATAAGGCAGTGAAATAAAAAAATACATACACCCAAACTCACTGAATTTAATTACCACTTCTAGAACATTCTATCCACTAAATCTAAATAAGAGCATTTTTTTTCTCTTCTAGAAAAATGTTACAAATGTTAGAAAATGTCAAAATTTAAGAAGATATCATAACCTTAACACATAAACTTCATTTCTCTTCACTCCAGAAATATAAATAAAACAAATTCTAAGAAACTATACAAAGAACTCATCCCTTCAGGAAATATTTACAAAACAGAATACAACAAATGTCGACCTTTTAAATAGATGAAACAGGGCGCCCGTAAGGCACACGAAAAACTAGCATCAAAAAACACCCTATCAAGTGCACCCTGTAAAACACGCACCAGAAATTAACAAAAGAAAACAGGGCGCCCGTAAGGCACACGGAAAAACTAGCATCCAAATTTTTTATTATTTTGCACTATATGTGTTTTATTCTGTGATGTGTGTGTTAAAGCCTTGAAGGATCGTGTGACGTTTACATTTAGAAAATGTATAATGATGTTCGAACGTTACGTTTTTAAAAACAGTTCACACTTCCTTAAACATTTAAGCAGCCTGGCGTGCCCTATACTATATTACTATCAATAGCTTCTAAGAATAAGCATTTGCGACTAAACTTAAATACATTAGTGATATTAGACTACTACAGACATTCAATATTAAATTCGAATTGATTAGGTGAAGCAATTTACTAGATGTTGTACCAATTATATGAGAAGGGTTATATATTTATGAAAAGTAAAACAAGTGCGTATGTTCACGAATATTAAACACAAAATGTACGTACTATGTATTAAAAACCTGATAAGAATTTCTTTGTTTATTGTTAAGCACAAAGCTACACAGCAGGCTATTTGTGCTTTTCCCTAGAGCTGATTGTTTAGCGTTATAAGCCCATAGACACACCGCTGAGCCACCTAGGGAAATTTAATAGTAACAGTTAAATAACAGTATATATATATATTTGGTAGTATTAAGTAACCTGTTAACATATTTATTAAGGGAAAGTAGAAAAAGAATACATCAGTTTATCAATAAAATTTCGAAAATTTACATAAATTGACAAAATCATATGTATTCATGAACAATTAATATAAAATACAATCGTTATTTCTGTTTCTTTAAATATATGTTGTTTTTAAGAATAAAAAAACCACAAAACGACGTTTTTTGCACAATGAAAGGTAAAATACTTATTATAGTTTACAGCTGATTATATTATCGAAATTTTACCTTTCATTGTGCCAAAAAACGTCCTTTTTGTGTTTTTACTCTTAATATATAGTAGCACAATGTGCCTGAAAAGAAATTATACGTTGTTTTTTATATATATTTTTAGAGGATTCGCTTATTGTGGAGCCACGTGTTATTTTACCAGCAAAGAATTTTCAGAAAAGATAACATACGATGACAATGACTGTGATTTTTATAAAAGTAAGTCAGTTTGAGGACCACTTCTCACTAACTAGAAGTTTTATTGTTCGTCAAACATGGTATAAACTTCCTGTGAAATCAAACTAGAACTGTTCATGTAAATGCACCATTGTTTGTTTGTTTTTTTAATTATGCACAAAGCTACACACCACTGCCCACCACTGGTAACGAAACCCGGTTTCTAGCGTTGTAAGTCCGCAGACATACCGCTGTGCCACTAGAATTATGACACGTCACTTCCTCATAAATAGACGTTTTAAACTTATTTTATTTGTAATTGGCTTGGATTTTTTTGTGAATTCTATGATAATAATAAAGTAGCAAGAGTTGTGTTATTTCATAATTACAAAGTTAACTGTAACTGAGACATAGCTTAAGTATTAATTACTTGTACTGACATTCAAATTATGACAAAATATTTCCTAAGATGACAAAGCAAACGATTAAAATACACAAATTCATTGAGTTTTGAAAAAAGATTAGAAGAAAAATTATTCCCACGAAACATAAAACGACAAACAAATTACTTCTTAAACGATTCAAAAGAAGAACCGATGCTTCTATTGGAACACAGATATGGGGAAGAGTTTCTTCGAACGTAATAAAACAAAAGATGAATAAATGTGACAGCATTGCTAGCGATACTCGACTACTATGCAAAGAAAAATTTTTATGCATAACAAAAATAACACGTGAACGGCAATAAAAGACAACTTGTTTTTACCGAGTTATACCGGTTTCAGAGAATTAAGTGTAGCATTACTGTGTGAGTAACCGGCGTTTCGAAACATATACACTCCACCACTACATGAAGCCCAGTCATATTCTTTCGATTTTCCTTTGTCCAGGGTTAGTGATCTCTCTCTAAGTCCCTTGTCCAAGTTGAACGTTCGCAATCATAGTTCTCCATAGGTTCCTGTCTTTTGTACGTTTCAAAATCACAGTCACACGCATCCAATTGCTTATGCTATTGAGTTTAACCTTGGTCTTCCTCGACTTTCTTTACACAGTAATTACCATATTTATAAGTTCTTACTTTCTAATTATGGGCCCTAGGAAACTTAGTTGTTGTTCTCTGATGGCTATTTAAGGATGGAATACACATAGAATTGTAGTATTTTTTCATGTAGCCATAGTTATGCTTTGATTTTTTAACATTTTTCCCTAACATTTTAAAAGCTGTTTTTCTCATAACTATACGTATTTTAATTCATGTATCACTTCTTCAATCTGTTGTTATAATACTACCTAGGTATTTAAATTTTTTCACCTGTTTGATTAATTTATTTCCAATATAAAGTTGAAACTTTGGGATATCAGTCTCTTTGCTGATGACCATACATTCTGTCTTCTTAATGTTAAATGAAAGTCCTTTATGGTTGCTTGCCTCTACCACCATGTCTATTATTTCATGTAAGTTCTTTTGTGAGCTACCAATCAACTCTGCAGATTCAGATTATAGCCTCCAATTATCCAGTATTTGATGTTGCTTATTTTTCTGAAAATGTTTTCAGTATAGAGATTAAATAGATCAGGTGAGAGAAAGCACCCTTGTCTCACTTTTCTTTTAATTTCTGTATATTTACTGATTTCATAACTTATTCTCATTGCAGCTGTATGTTCCCAGTAGAGGTATCAATCATTCTTATATCTTTCCCATCGAAATCTAGGTTTATAAAATTTCTAAGAGATCTTCATGTTTTACTTTATCAAAAACTTTTATGTTGACATCTGTGTTTTACCATGATTATTCTAGGCAAGAACTGCAGTGGTTTGCCAATGCCTTTTGCACGTTACAGTGAGCAGCTAACTGTGTTACTGATAAGGGGTGGAATTCTTCAAAATCGGTATAACTCGATGACAAGTGTTGAATCGAATAATACATTGGGCTTCACATTTATTTTTCAATATTTCAACTTGTATGAGGGAATAATTTCCAATTGTTTGTTTGTTGATAAGCGCAAGGATACACAATGGACTATTTGTGCTGTGTCCACCATGGTTATCGAAACCTGGTTTTTAGCAGTATAAGCCTTCAGATTGACTGCTGAGTCACAGGGGAGGGGGGCGAACAATCCACAAGGATAAATTAGTAGCATCGATGCATTTTTGAAAATTTGCGCAAAACTGCTTGAATATTATCTGTGATAGCCGTCCCTAATTTAGAACTGCTATACTTGAGGGAAGGCACTTAGTCAACACCACCCAACTGTTGGGCCACTCTTCTACTAACGAGGAGTTGGCTTGTCCACCACTTTATAACGCCCCCACGGCTGAAAGGGTAACATGTTCGGTGACAGGATTCGAACTTCCAACCCGAAATTGTGAGTCGAGTGCCCTAACCATCAGGCCATGCCAAGGCATCATACTTTTGAAATTTTCATCAAAATATAGAATTACTGTGTGAGTAAAAGACATTTCGAAACAACACCATACATATAATAGCGACTTTTAATTGTTTTTTATCGATTTTTATTTTAACTTGCATCATTTTAAATGTTTGTTAACTTCAGAAGTTTACAGTCTTTCAAAAATCATGTAGGTTTTAGAAAGATTATGAAAAAGAAAAAGTAAATGTTATATTTTTAAAATAAACGTAGAAAGAAAAACAACAATTGAATATTTTACGATTAATGTATTATTTCAATAGTACCTGTAAAAAATATTACATTTCAGATTGAAAAGCATTTTTCAGGATTCGAATATTTAAGACGAAGACTGTAATAATTAATTTATTTCTAATAATTTTGATGTTTAAGTGTTTTAATGCTTGTAAACAGGACTTATAACACAAGAAGATGCCCCACCAACAATGGATGTAGTAGCCTCAAGACTAAGTGGTTCAATAAGAAGAGGGGAATTCTTCTTCACTATCCGGACAGCTGATGATGAGGTAGTAAAAATTCAATGCTTATTTCTAAAAGATGCAACGTTTTAAAGAGATAGATGTAGATGAATGGGTAACCATCGAAAGATTAGGAAAAAAAAACTTTTAAAGATTGGGTTTTAGGTAGTATTGCCTTATGTAATAAACCAGTTTCTCCTTACATCTATTTGAACCATTCAAATATTTGTGGTCAGAAAAACCAGAAAAAAAGTCAACACGTTTACTTATTTTTAGCTCTTCGTTTTTACAAATAAAATATTTCAATTTTTTTTTTCTCTCTGGAAATTATTTTACAAAGTGTTTTATTTATCGTGTGGAAATAGGCAACTGGTGTTTCTTTTTTTCTTGAAAAACAAATATCTATCATTTTGCTATAAATTGTGAAGTTTTCATCTGACATTGTCAAAATCTGTAAGCTTTAATTCAGAAAAAGTTATGTTTCAAGAGAGACTTCGTGAGTAACATAAGTCTTTTTTTGCGGATTGCGTAAATGCAGTTGCCTCAGTACGAATAAAATAACACTTTAAAGTTGTCTTATATTCGTGCTATTCGAGGGCTCATTTTTCATATTTAAAAATATATATATTGGTAAGTATTTGATTTTACAGTATGCATCAAACTAGGTTCAAACATTTGCTTTTATTAAATATTATTCCACAGTTAGAATGGGAAATTCGGAGGATTGGGTACGTCTTGTTAAAACTGGCTTGAATACCTAAACCAACAAGTCATGTGAAAACACAGTCGATATAAAGTCGCGGTAGAACGGCATGTATTAGAACTAAATTTTGGCATTGTGTGGCATTTCGTATGTATGACGATACCATCGAAAACTTATCAATTTTGGGAAGGTATCTAACAGCCCTTTCTTACGTAAAATATTCATAAATCAGATAATAAGGATGCGTTTATACTTAAAATTTCCAATAAGGTCATATCTCTTTTAATTAATTAATCACATTGGCAAATAAAGGAATATGACTAACTTGAAGCAGCATGACCATCGAAAAATGACCGCAATAAGTCGTATCTCAGCCCTGGTAAGTAAATTACAGCGTCTTTTAATAGTAAGGTCAGTGGTAAAAAGATCAGAAAAGGTCTACGCTTGGAAAAGCAACACAAGTCAAGTGTACACGAGTTGCTTTAATGACATATTCATTCAACCATCTAATACCTCAAGCAGCTAAAGAATGAAACGAGTGTTCATGCTATTACATACACAAAGACATACCGGTCCAGTTGCTGGACGCAGCTCCTTTGAATTTTCGTACACCAGATAGATTAGGAAAGGCATGCAGAGAAAAGTGGTGTTTTTTGGACATGAGGGCCTTAAAACGAAGCATTTAGCAATAAAAACTACACTGCAAGTCTATTTTTAAGATTCACGATCTTCAGAAACAGTACGATCGGACGTCACGACTTGAGCTGTAAAGACGTGGTTAGCTTCAAGATCGTTTTATATCACGTACTTAACCTCTACATACCAAACACAATCAACATACCTATCAAAAGTATAAATAACTAAGAAAGTGTTCATGTCTATTTCAATCATATCTTGTTGGAAATATTTTCAGTAAAATATTATGTGAAAAATGTAATATAAATAAAACGTCTATAAAATAAGATACATTACACTGTGGATAAGTACACCAGTGTTAATGTTAATACTAAGGACGATTTGATATTTAAATTATGCAGACTTTAGGGAACTTTGTTTTTTATTCTTGTAAGAGATTTATGTATAACCGTTTTATAGCCTAATTATTTTTAATCTGTGCAGACAACTTATAAAGCACTTGAGTTTTACGACAGACTGGGTTCGGGAATAAACGACTACGAGCAACTTCCCTCAGGTGAGTGCGAGTGCCTATCAGGGTAAGTGCTTGCTTTAATAGCATATCAGTGTTAGACGATACTTGCATCTTTTGCCTATCAAATAATAAGAAAAATTATTATTTTTTTATCTTGACGAAAGAACAATTTGTCGTGTACATTGTTTAACAAAAAGCATATTAAATTATTAACATGAATTGAGGCTTGTGAGAACTTTAAATAAAAATTTCATAAAGAACGCAACTGTTTTCCAACTTCAACAATATTTGAAAAATTGTGTTGAGTAATTAGGTGTTTAAAACATAATACTTTCAACAATATTTGAACATTGTGTTGAGTAATTAGGTGTTTAAAACATAATACTCTCAACAATATTTGAACATTGTGTTGACTATTTAGGTGTTTAAAACATAATACTTTTTTCTCATATTCCATGTTAATATACCAGGAAATATCATATATATTATTTCGGGCCTACCGGTCGCTCACTGTTAAAGCTGAGGGCTTATAACGCTAAAAGTCGGATTTCGATACCCACCATGAACAGATAGCTTTGCGCTTTAATACAAAACAAAGAAACAAACTACTATTTCGGTCGCAATAAGGCGAAATAAAACTATTCATTATAATGCACAACGCTTAGCTAAACAAGCTAGGTCTCTCTGGGACAGAGGTAAGTTTAGAGACTTATAACGCTAAAATCCGGAGTGCAACTCCTCGCGGTAGAATTAGGCTAGCTGCAAAACAGTTGCAGCTAGTCTAATGTGGCTTTGCTCTAAAAACAAACTAACAGGCTAGGAAATGATTATATGATATAGTTTATCTTAATACATGTATAATTTAAGAGCCATTAATGGTACCAAATAATAGTTTAATACACCAAATCGTGCTAAAAACTATTACTTCATTTTCATGTTATGTGAACTTTAACCACTAGTACTTTAACTTTGTAAACCATTTACTGTGGTATGTGGACTTTTAGCTTCTTCAAGTTTAAGCAGTGATAAGTGTGAAATAGATTTTTAAGATAAGGTTTTTGTTTGTTTGTTATTAAGTACAAAACTGCACAATGGGCTTCTTGTCCTCTGTCCATCGCGAGTATGAAAACACGACTTTCAGGGTTGTAAACCCTCAAACGTACCACTGACTTGCCGGGGGAGGTCTATAGGATAAATACTACCAAGAGGTTTTTTGTAATTTGTTTGCAATGAGCAATTTATGCTCCGTCCACCACGGGTATCGAAACCCGATTTCTAGCGTTGTAAGTCCGCAGGACATACCGGTGTGCCACTGGGGGGGGGGGGGGGTCCAAGAGTTAGTAATCGTAATGAGTAAAAAAAAATAATAATTAAGCCCAAAGTGCTTGATTAGTTTGAACTTATGCATTCGGATAAATACTACACGTTTATTAATTATTTTATTTCCCTTAAAGGAGAGGTCTAAACGAAAACTCATAGTTCTCTATGTTATCAAAATGTTAAAAGTCAAAATAGGTGTTTTAAATGTCTATGATAATTTGTAATTACTTAATGCTAGCGAATAATATCACTCATAATCTTAAATAACTCTAAATATTAAACGTTTGTAAACGGTGGAAATCTATTATTTAGGGTAAGGTTTTGTTCAATCCACTATTTTGGATAAAATAATAAACTTTTAATAAACTGCCAAAAAAGGTAAATTGTATTAAACAGGGAGAAACTGTTTTGTGCATGCTGCAATACTAAATTTTAAATACATTCATAACATAATTTGTAAGATATTTACATATACATTAATTAACTATAAAACTTAGTATACAAATATTTTGATATAACTTGTCTCAATGAAATTCTATGTTAGTCACTTGCATTCGGCTATTATGTTAAAGTTCTCGGAAACTGACTGTACACGTGTATTATGGACTGTGATAATCACTTGACCTTTAAAATATTAGCATTATTGGATTTTCAGGTTTCCTGGATAGCAAATTTACAGTGTACAAATATACAACAAAATTCGACAAGAATGAAAGTGATGATATTAAAGGCTTGGGACGAGTGACTTTCGTAGACTGTAAAAGGGCATGTATTAATTCACCACTCTGTGAGTCTCTGTCCTACTGTAACATAAATGGTGAATGTTTACTGAGCACGAAACACAGTAGTGAGATTCCAGATAAACATATGGCGAAGGATACTCAATGTGTTGTACTTTCCCGTGAGTAAAAAACCTTATCTATCTATCTTATTAATCAAACAATCTATCTATCTATTTGTATAGGTGTCACTTTTATTCGTTCTTTCTACGTATATATTTGTCTATCTGCTTTTATTTCTCTCAATCTCTAGTTATTTGATTGATGTATAGCTTATTCAAGGTTAAATTTAGTAATCTTAATTTATTTGAGTGTGCTATGTAAATACAGGTGAAATACACGACTGAAGTCGAAAGTTTAAAATGAAATGAATTTTCATGCACTGAATTAGTCTGTAACGATAAATATTAGGGCATTTTAAGATGTTTTTCTTCTTTCTATCATAAAATATATATGTGTTAGAAATTTGTTGTAATGTTGTTTTGAGTAAGTTTCTCTCGTAGATTATATAAAACAAAAGTATATAAAACGAGGAAAATGAATATATTCAAATTCAATAATCAGTAATGAATCTCTTATTTCTAAAGGGAACTACGTTGATGCCTATGAGAGACTACCGGGTATAACAATAGGTTCTAAACCCAAGAAAGCATTTAATATCAGCGATCTTAACGAATGTGCAAAGGCATGCAGTACGGAAGGAAGCTTTCAGTGCAAGTCATTTGACCATTGTCCTCAATCCAAAGACAAGGAATACACCTGTCTCTTACATGAAACTCATTTTTTGGACGCGAAGGATAAAATTGTTGGTGACAAAGCGAAAGTGTGTGGTCATTACTCTCGTAAGTCGATACTATTTTTTTGTTATTAATCTTCTTTAAGATGACATTAGTTTGTCAATAAAAGTGCTTATCATGGTACAGCATTAAAATACGACGTATAGGAAACTTATTCTGATGATTCTAAGTTTTAACTCATCTGGTTTTCTTTTAATAATTAATCAATTACTGTTTATAGAACTGAACTTGAATATTTCCTTTCGAATGTAAATTTAGATACATGTAAAAAAGTTTTAGAATTATTACAAGTGTATTCAAAATATTCAGTTCATTGCTCGTCTAAATGTTCTACACCATAAAACTAAATGATAAAGAATAAAACTTTTGTAACAGTCCATAAAATGTATGGAATGAGATCGGAACACCATACGTTTACATTCAAGATGTAAATTTTAACATTAAAGTTGACTTTTAACATTTGATATACAAGTATCAGGAATGCTGTTCTATTAAAATCTGACCCCTTCCCAATGGCCGAGTGACATATCTGTAGACTTACGACACCAGAATTCTAATTTTGATACCCGTGGTGGGCAAAGCACAGTAGCCAATTCTGTAGTTTTGTGCTTAATAACAACCATCCAAACCAAAATCTATTAAAATTCAAAACCGATTTAAGGATTTCGATCTACTAAAGTTGTTTGAATACAGAGTTTGTTTAAGGTTAGTTGAAATCATTTGTATTTAGTTTGTTAAAATAAGTGAAAATCATCTTTTTTGTTATGGTAAGATATTGTTTTTTGAGTAATGCCAAGTTTCAAACAACATACACATTTCATGCGCAACTGTATGAAAAATGCTTAGTTTATCACATAATTTATATAATTAAATCGTTTGATATTACTGCAATAAAATTATAGGTTATGTCAATCTCGTTGGTACTCCATCAACACAATAAATTAAGTTTTGTGATTAACTGAAGCTAACCAATGTGATTCGTTATACAATATAATTATTACTCTATATTCTCTGCTTACAAAATTCAGGGAACTACATTTATGATTTTAAACGAACTGATGGCAAAAAGGTGGATGGTGCGACAGTGATTGAATTACAGAACGTCACAGCCAAAGTCTGTGCGAAAAGATGTGTAGAAAATGCAGATTTTAACTGTCAAAGTTTCGACTTTTGTCAGGCCACGCCTCTGGACAAAAGCACTTGTTTATTAATAGGGAAAGGAAACTCTAAAATGAACTTCATCGAAGCTCCTGTTTGCGCCCATTACGAATACTTGGGTATAAGAGGTAGGTGTTCAAGAGTTTTTAGATGATGAACATTTATAAGCAAACTTTGTCATGAGGTCTTAATATTTTTACAGTTATACTTACTAATGTCTGACATTTATATTCTGACATTTCGCCGTATTTCGTGTTTATATGATTATATAACATATTTATATGAAATTAATACAGATTCACATTATAATCCAGAAAATTATTTTAACCTCTTAACTTTGATCTTCACATTATCTTGACCTGTAACATCACAGGATTTTTGATTCAATGATGTCACACAATGATGTTCTGTTATGGACTCGGACATCTTAAATGAGGTTAAATCCCGCCAGTAACGATGTAGCATTCACCAATATTGCCCTCCATGTCATATAGGCCAGATATAATTGAATGTTGGCTTTCTATGAGTACGATTATATTGGATGGTGATGGACATGTGCTCCTGGAGAAGTCCCCTCCCACTCATTTGATATAAATACACGGTTAGTCAGAGAAGTCTATAATTACTGCAGTTTCCTTGAATGTGATGGTATTGGCAGTGGACATCTTTGATAATGCAGTTCTTATTCATAACTACCCTCTGGCATTTATATCAATAATCCATGTAATATCTAATTATTGAACATCTAAGTTAACTACTTACCTATTTGCAATACCAATTATCTTGGATGGACATGAGCTCACAGACCTCCATGACAATTGACGCCTTCAACAAATGTTTAATAAAGATGCTGTTAGATATCTATAATCCATTTATTCATATTATACACAAAGTACTAACGAATCACCCTGTTGACTCCAATATGGTGGCCTCCAGTGGATTCTGGATGGCATCATATACGCCCACGTGGCGCAGCCATGACACTACAAAGTGTTAGCCCTAGGATGGAAACCTCCTATGTATCATATGCTGCAACAATCACAAGCATACATAGGAGGACACCATCCTGCTCAATGTGTTTCACAAGCAGGGTGGTTTAACCCAAATGACCATACCCATGGGAAGTCCGCATCTTGGAGTGAATAGGAAGTGACATCATAGATGTGCCATGGATGCGATGTCTTACAAGATGGCTGCACCCACTGGAGGCCGGCACATTGTGGGTCAACTGTGTAATTGGTCAGGTCTTTATGTATTATATGACAAATGATGAGTCATAAGAGTAACCTTTGTATGAATTGGTTTATGATTGATGAAGGGCTAGTTTATAAAGATATGATAATGTTTTAGTCAGTTGTTATTGAGACCCTGCAATAGTCATAGAGATTTATGTCCATTCAAGATGACTGCTACAGCCTGAGGTAAAGTAACTAAGTTAGATGTTCAATAATTATGATATATTAATGTGGATTATTAATATGAATGCCAGAGGGCAATTATGAATATGAATGATACTAGCTAAGGTATTCGCGTTCAACATCATCTTATTCAAGGAAGCAGTAAAAGTCATTTTGGGTTCAAATGGAATGGTTAGATATGACTTTTCCACGAACACATCAATACCATTCAAAATGTTCGAGCTCATAGAAGGCCGCTAGTTTAGCAGCTGTGATCTCTGTGATATGTAGAATCATCTACGTCATCTTGCCAATATTATGCATCATACGTTCAAAGTTCACGTGACTTCACAGGTCAGGGTCAAAGATAGTAAGTCAAACCGGTTTATTCTCTAACCATGACTACTCATGTTGTACTACTATATTACGCTGTGCTTTATATATATATTACTTATCTTGCTGCCTTTGACGGCTCACCAGTAAGGTTGACAGCTTATAGCACACATATTCAGAGTGCAATCCCTGTCGTGGGTGCATAATGCAGACAACTTTTTGTTTAAACCAAGCAAACGTTTCCTGCTACCTTTTTTTCCAAAACGAACACAGGTACCATAAAAAATTGAATATTTATATAATGTACATATTATAACATTACTCTAAGAGTAATGTTGTATCGTTTAGTAGGTAGGTATCTGTCTCTTATTAATGTTGGTGAACACATACACACATATAACCTCAGTGATATACTAGACCTGTCACTGGTATGTG